AGTAACAGACGTGTCTCTTTATTCACAAATTTTGCATGGGTTACACTTTGCAATCTCCATTTTTTAAGGGGGGAAGGAGAAGAGGGGTGGACTGAAGAGGCAACCCCTATGGAGATCAGTTGATGAACATGCAGAGTGGACTCATGATGGTTATTTGGCATGTGATCAATAACCATTCTGAAATGGATCTATTTTAAGCACGATTATCAGGGCTGTCAAAATCTGATGGTTAAAAATGATAGCATGGGGAAATGTCCAGGTTACTTTCCGCTGCTTGGGAAATAATACGGTGAGTGGTTTTAAAATTCCAAATCCCCAGAGCCTTAAACCACTGCAATTTATTGTAAAATATTTTTCCAAGCCAAGCCCTGTTTAAGCCCTGAGTCTTTGCTATTTTCCTCTCATTTTACATAGATAAAGAAGCTCATTAACTGATTATCTATGACTCTGGAGTCCGTTAGTGATCCCTTCAGGGGTCTACATTTATTTCCAGAGCCTCCTATTTGCAAAGTACTGTGTGAATTGATTGTTCCTTACGTTTCTGATTATTTCGTACTCTTGATATCTCTAAGGTTATGGAAGAGCTCAATGCCTGGTCATCTTCACTTCATGGTTAAACAGGCTTACTCCTCATTTGCTATATTACCAACAGAATGGAGGCTGTTGGATTGCATCATTAACAGTTATTTTCATTTTTTAGTTTTGTTTCTTTACTGTCTCATTCTGGAACTAGGCTTTCCTAGCATCCTCTTCTTCCTTCTTCCAGAATGTGCCCTGTTCCAGAGAAGGGCAATTAATTCTTCCAAGAAGGCCTCCCTGATTGCACAATCTAAAGAGGCAATCCTCTCCTTCCAGACAGGCTCTTTCTCTCAACCTCTCATCTGTTCCCTTGATAGCATTTATCACAACGTGTGATTTGGAACTAGTTGCTGTTCTTTGGAAGTCTACCTCTTCCAATTAAAAGGTGGGTATCATGAAAAGAGGAACTTGTCCATTCTGTCTGCTGCCATATCCCCAGTGCCCACCATGGTGGCTGGCACATAGTAGGCGCTCAAAAATACCTGCTGAATGAATGAGTGCATGGAACCTTATACGTTCCTTTACCACATGTGTTCTTCTGCTTTCTCTTACTTTCTCTTTCTCCTTCCTCTCCTCGCTTTCCCTCCTGTGGACTTTCTCCTCTGTTCACTTCCCTTTTTCACTTCGTTCTCTTAAATCCATGTGTTCAACCAGCCAACACTTCTGAAGACCAACCCTGCTTCAGGCGTGAAGTCTTGCACGTGAAAGACAAAAAGTAGATACAATCCCTTCCCATAAGGACCCTACAATCTTCATTCTTGTGCTTTGTATCAGAGCTCATGAAACCCCCAGATTCCCCAAACAGTAAGGTGTTTCCAGTCTCCCAGAACAGTCCTAACACCAGATAGTGGGGGCTGTCAACTCCGGCAACACACTCATCACTGCCAGATGCTGGGAGCTCTTGGGGTGGGGGAGGGTCCAGGGTGGCTGCACACTCAAATGCAGGGCTCCAGTGACCCTGGCAGTGTGAGAACAAGGCCCTAATGGGGCCACTGAAGAGACCTGTGCCATGTGAGTATGTGTCCTGTTCCCTGTGGCCCCACCAAACCCCTCACTCAACTACCCTATGTAGAGCCCATGACAACCTGGGTATATTCCAGGGGTATTTCAGCGCTTCCCTCTCCCGGTGGGCAGCATCCTACTGTTACTATCTGGCTGAGTGCCTTGCCTCGTTGTCTATACTTGGCTGGTTTCATTTCCTTCCTTCCCTGCACACAGCCCACCTTTATGAAAATTATTCCCGAAGAAAGGAGAGACCGAGGGGCTCATGTCTGAGAAAGGAAAATGCCACAAGGCCTTGTTCTTCTGGCTCCTGATGACCAGATTGTGGGTGGTCTCCCTATCCAAAGAGAACTAAGTTTCAGCTGGGCTGGAAATCAGTTATAGGCTGGGCTGGGCAAATTTGCCTCTCTTTCTCTCTCTCCTTGGTTTCTCTCTCTCTTCCAGAATGTGAATTAGGAAACACAGGAGACTGTTACCAAATATGAATCATCATTGGCTGTGGGCTTGTTAGGCTGGGCCACATATAAAGAGAATGCTGAGAAATAGAATGGAATCAGGTAGGCATGGAGAGAAGCAGACAGCAGAGATCCTGGGGCCTCTGAGGGATAGAGAAATCAGCTTTGGTCCTTAGCAGATTCCCAAGAGGCGTAGCACAATCTGCCCCATGTGTTCCCAGGACCGTCCCCTGGTCCCTTCCTTAGCTGGCCTGACTATAACACATTTTAAAGGGCACCTGGGTGGCTCAGTTCGTTAAGCGTCTGACTCTCGATTTCAGCTCAGGTTATGATCTCACGGTTCATGGGTTTGAGCCCCGCGTCGGGCTCTATGCTGATGGCGTGGAGCCCTGCTTGGGATTCTCTCTTTCTCTGCCCCTTCTCCCATTCTCTCTTTCAAAATAAATAGATAAACATTAAAAAAAACCACACATTTTAAAAAGTGGTATTATTGACCACAGGAGGCTATAAGAGTAATGTTCCAGACATGTGTTCAGGTTTTTTGTGCATTGCTTCTTTGTCCATGGCAACTTACAGAACCATAATAGCAAGTATGTTTATATCCTGTGTTGGGGCCAACCTCCTCTCCCTCTCTCCTTTCTAGGGATAAAGGTGACACATCTTTTTTCAAAATAGTTTTCGGGTTTAGAGAGAGTGATCGCAACCCATATAAACAAAGAAAAGGCTTATAATGTGAAAGATATCAATGGATTTCAGTTCAAAGATCTCATGTTTAATAAAGCACCTGAAAAAGGTATGAAAAAGGAAGATCCAATGCAGGTGACAAAGAATAATCAAGGAGTTACCTAGTAATTTGCTGACCTAAAGCTAGAAAACTTGGTTATTGGTCCTGCTCAGAACGAGGGTTTAGAACAACTTGAAAAATTATTTTATAACGTTCAAGTACTCAATGGATTTACGATGGGGAGCACAGAGAAAACCAGCTGGTTTTCAGCTCCAATTAAAGACAAGGGCTCCTGTCTAATTGCAAAGCTGCTTACAACTGCCTTCAAGTATTTACTCACTGATCACGTCCTCAAATAATCTGCAACAGGCTAAGAGGATTTCTGGGGAGGAAATTGTGCGAATCTTTTGAATTCCTATTTGGGAGTATGTACAGATGGGCTTGTAAAAGATAGTTTTAGCCACATTACAGAGGGAAAATTGCAATATTTAAAGGACAAATAATTCAGTGGAGAGATACATTTTGGGATGTCTGCCCAGCTCTGTAGGATTCCCCTTGTTTAGAATTTCCCCTCTCTCCCAAACCCATAGGGCTGAAGTTGGGAGTGGCCTGGGTTTGTTTCCCTCCTCCGTCACTCATTAGCAGTGCTGCAAATTATCGAACAAACTCTCTGTCCCTTGGTATCTTTGTCTGTATGATGGGGATTATATTCTCGGGTGGTTTTGAGGATTAAAGAAGATAATGCTTAGAACAGCACCTGGCATTTAGTAAATAATAAATGTCAGCCATGATTTCTCAGCTCCATGCTCCTGGCCTAGCTGGAACCGTCTGCTTTCTCCCCCTGGGAATTTGGAATTGGGATGGAATTGGGGGTTAATCCTTTCATGTGGCTGCACCTGGAGTATGAAGCCTTGGTACTCTACTTTGAGGCCTGAGGAGCAGAGAATGAGGTCCACAACGAGAAGAATAAACAACGTCAGTGGGAGAAAGCAAGTCCGACCTGGGATCCTCATCAATATCCCCGTCCTGCTTCATGTCCCGGGCTGAGCCTGCTGGCCTTCCCGCCCTGGTTTCTAGCAGACATCAGTTTGCTTATAAAAAAGTATCCTTTGTGCTTGGGCTAACTTGGGGGATCTTTTATATGCAACCAAGAGTCCTAACTAATACATCAACACCTAGAAAAAAAGATGAAATCTGCTTATGAAGAAAAGGAGGAGATACAGACCTTAAATTCCCTGTTACCGTCAGAGGGAAATGGATTAAAACAGGCCACCAGTGAATGGCCAAGACATTCCCTTCATCAATGAATTACTAGTGGGAATTTTCCCCAGAAACTCAGTTTCAATCTGCTTTTTCTTCTTTTCCAGGATTTGCTCCATTTAGATCCAACGACATACGACATTAGGTTTTAGTTCAGAGTTTTGTTTAAAAAAAATTTCAAGTACAAAGTAGGTGCTTCCAAGGTGACAAGACAGGCAGAAAGAAGTCTTTATAAACAGGAGTCTCTACTTCAGGATTTTTTAAAGGCAAAGAAATGGATGGAATAGGTCCAGGTGAGGAGTGCCCCTTTTTTCCCCCCAAAGGTCTTTCTCAAGGAGAAAACATGGTTTTGATTTTTAACAACATAAATAATGGTTTTAGCAAAGAAGAAAGAGGGAAATTTTATTAGTTTTAGGTGTCGACAACAGCCAAGAAACATAGATCAGAAATGTTCTTCTCCCTCCGTCCCCCAACTCCGCCAAATCACTGATGTAACAATCTAAGAACATCTTTTGCCTCCCGTGAAAAGAAAAAGGAACTGGGGAATCTAAGTCCTTATTTTAGGCTCATTTAACTCCCAGACAAGTCACTTAACTGTAGGGATCTCAAGAAATCAGTTCCCCTCAATCTAGCCATTGTTCAGCTGTGGAAGGCCTTGTGCCTAGCCTATAATGTTGTCATTCAGTTCTGTGCCCTGCCATTAGTTTGGACCACACTTCTTAGAAGAATGGTGTGGCAAAAATCGAAAAGATATTCTCAAAAAACGGAGTCCAGTGTTGGAGGTTTCAACATTTGGCCTTTTGTGTCAGAAGTGTGTGGGCCGCCTCTGGGAGAAGCCCAGGGGGTGAATGAAAGGACGCACTTCACAGGGGACACAGGCACAATTCAGGCTCAGTCAATAGCAGACCAGGCTGGAATGCGCTCTGAGGGGCGAGGTGGGCGGACTCCTACACAAAGGGCATTCTCGCAAGAGAGCCTACCTGGATTGAAATAAAAAATAATATTTAATAAATCCTGGTCTCCCCATGTGATGGCATTCTTGTACTTCTGGTACAGAGGGTACAACATGTCCTCCCAAGCCAAGCCTGTTGGAATCATGCTGTTCTGGAAAAGAGACAACCATTAGAATGGCTGAGGCAAAGCAAATACATTTTGTCCACTGAGAAACAGTGCAGAGGACCCCAAATCCCCCAAATCCCCCTATGAAGCAAATAGGAGGGGTCCTGCTGCCCTCAAGACATAGGACAAAGCAAAACTAGGGCTGGAAACTGTAGAGTTTTGCCAGATAGGGTAGCACATAGATACTAGATGGGCCAGGAACCACTAGTTGGGGCTATAGTTTCCACTCAGAAAACTATGCCCAAATTGAAACTCTCTTTCTTATGCTTAATTCCTGCCTCAGAGGGGAAGGAACAAAATACAGATGGCAGAGTTAAGGTATCTAAGGGAAAACACCTTCTCCTTGTCTTAACATAATTTACTTTTAAAATAAAAGCAACACATTTATAGACTAAATATTCAAATAGCACACAAAGATAAAATTAAAAAGTAAAAGTATTCTTCCTCCATCCTCCTACCATTTCCACCCCCACTCTTCCCAGAAATATCCACGGTTAACAATCAGGTATTCTATTAGGTATTCCTTCTGGAAATTTCTAAGCCATAAAAGAGATCATACTTATGGTACCATGCTTTGTTGCATTTTAACTTTTTTCCCTTAATATCTTTTTAGGGATCTTATGTATCTTACCTATAGATTGATCTACTTCTTAATTAGAGGATGATTTTCTTTTAATTGACTAGCTCTCTACTGAGGTTCATTTAAGTTCTTTCCAGTTCTCTACTAGGATAAAAGATGAGGCCATGAGCAGCCTTGTACAAATATCTCTGTATACATATGTAAATATAGCCCTAGGATAATTTCACAAAATTTTCCATGGTTTTTGAAGCTTTGGGTAAACACAGAATTCAAACATTATAGAATTCAGAAATGCAACATAACATTCTTGAATAGTAATTGTGCTGTAGCTTTAAATACCATAAACACCTGGGCTCTTCCTGAACAAACATTTCATAACTTTGCAAATATTTTCCTCTTCCCTGGCTCCTTCCTTCCTCACCTACAAGCGCCTTACTTCCAAAAGCAGTACATTGACAATCTAGGAACATCACTGTTGAAATGACAAAATCCCAAATTTTAAACATGAAATATAAAGTATTTCCTTACCTTAAACTGGGCACTTCTTATACGAGTTAAATTCATCAGCATGACTCCTGAATTAACTCCCGCAGAGCCATAGAAAGGGTGCCGAGCAAAGCGGCTGTACCAGCCAATCTTGGGGATTTCATGCTCAGGGGCCATGGCTGCAAGCTGGGTGGCATTAAACTGCCTCAGAAGCTTCCATATGTCATCGACAGGTCTCAGAAAGAGAACGTCGGTGTCCACATAGAGAAGTGAATCCACATCCTTTAAAATCACCTTTATGTGTTGGGGGGGGAGGGGAGAGAAACAAAAACAAAAACAAATCAGAAACAGAGGAAGTAGCCTGATATGTCAACAGTGCCATCAATTTCACTGGTCAAGGCTGAATTGCAGAAAGGGTGGTACCACTCTTAGCTTCCATTCCTCCTTTGACTCCAAGGATACATATTAATTGAAGGGTAGAGACTCAAAGGAAGATAAACCTTCATTTAGTTTGCTTCAATTCTAGGACCCTAGACTGTATTTGGGAAGGGTTGAACTTTCAGTCCATCAGCATATGGACTGAGGGTCTCTTGTGTACTTTCATCCTTCAGTGAAGCCATCTGTCTTTCTCAGTTTTTCTTAGAATGAGGGTCTGGCATTGGACAGCCTGAAGTGGACAATCCCTAGACTAGCTCATGCCAGGCTTTGGGGTAAATACTCTCTGTCTCTGGATCCATTTCTTCTAGTGCCGATGGGTATAACTGCACCTTTTTGAATAAACATTTTCAGCTAAGATTTAGTCTCGGGAACAGGCGAAACAAATCATTGGCAAGCTTGGTTTGTAGATCAGGGATTGGCAAACTTTTTCTCTAAAGGGTCAGATAATAAATCTTTCAGTCTCTTTCAGTCTCTTTTCATGGCAACAATACAAGTCTGCCATGGTAGCATGAAAGTTACAACAATGCATAAAGGAACGGGCACGGCTGTGTTCCAACGAAACTTTATTTGCGGACACTAAAATTTGTATTTTATATTATTTTCAGATGGTACAAAATCTTTTGATTTTTTTTTAACCATTTGAAATGTAAAAGCCATTCTTGGCTCATGGGCTGTGGATTTCAACCTCTATTGCTGTTCTTTCAAGCCAGCCATCTAATAAAGCAAATGAATTCTCCTGTCCTAACTGCTTTGCTTACCAGAGTTTTGCCTTGGAGTTAGAGATTTCAAAGCCTTAGTTAGTAATAGTGTTATTTGCCTTGTTTTGCCATTATTCCCCAAATTTAGTGGTAGCTTAATTAAGGAAGGATTTGAATATTCCTGTATCCCTGGCCTAATGTTATCCAAAGAGCACCACAACACCTACTACCATAGTGACACTTGCATTGGGGTGAATGTCTGTATCTTCAAAATTCACATGCTAAAGCCCTAACCCCCAACGTGATGGTATTTGTAGATGGGTCCTATGGGAGGAAATTAAGGTTCAATTAGGTCATGAGAGTGGGGTCTTCATGAAGGGATGAGTGCCCTTATAAGAAGAGAGGCCAGACACCTTGGTCTCCATCTATCATGAAAGAAAATAATGAGAAGCAGTGCCTCAACCCAGGAAGAGGTACTTAAAACCCGACCATGCTGGCACCCTGATCTTTGACTTCCAGCCGCCAGACCTATGAGAAAAGAAATTTCTGTGGTTTAAGCCACCCAATCTATGGTATTTTGTTACGGCAAGCCGACTAAGACAATATTCCATTGGAATCTCCAATATTTAAAACTGATGAACATGTATGTGCACTGTATGATGTAGGTATCATGCAGATTTCAGATTTGAATGATTTCAGAGCTTACGTGATCAGCCACAGGATTCAGCTTTCTTTCTCATCTAGTAGAGGAATAGATTTTACAAACCAATAAAATGAAATTAAAATAATGATCACAAAAAAATTAATAATAATGATCACCTATCATTTCTTAAAAGATTATCTTGACATCCATCTTAACAATTTGACAATCTCGATTTTAGAATTAAGATGAATCCTTCGAATTGAACACACAAACTTAAAAACTCCCCTACCTTATCCTTATTTTTTCTTATTTTCCCATGGAAAGGTAAAAAAATTTGCCACAGATCAGCCTCTGTTTGATAATTTTTTTTTTTTTAATTACAGTTCCAGAGTACGCTGGAGCAAGGGCAAACTCTCTACAAAAGTATTAGTAAATGCATGTTGTGATAAAAATTATGAACTACAGGTAAATACAATTATGATGTCTTGCATGTCCAACACAATCCCAAGGGCTCAACATTCTGCCAATTTATTTTACTGGGAAGAAAAACTAAAGCAAAATAAAGGGCTCTGCCCAAGTTCATATGTCAAATAATGCTAATGATGGTTGCATTTGGGCTAATAAGGTTATAACAAGATTAAGTCACTTTCTAGAATGTGTTTTCAGGGAAAAGAGACTGTATGGTGTTCCAATATAAAGCTAACTTAGAATTACAGAATTCGAGAGGAAGAGAAACCTATTTAAACCCATGTGAAATAGTACAAATTTCTCTTTATGGCTGATTATCTAATAAGGCCTGAATAAAAGCTCACAATGTAATGTTTTAATAAATTAAGGGTTATGCAGTCATCTGCCCAGAAGAATCAAGCTTGGTGATTTGCACTTGATCTTAGCCAAAAGGCTAAGAAGTGATAAGCTTGCTGACTTGATCACCCTAATTTTTTTCTTGGCCTTAATCATTTTTATTAAAGTTATCATTACTTTCTTCTTCAAAATGTTACCACTCCTCATCAAAACAAAAAAGAAGAAAACAAAAAGACTCTAAAAAGATCTAAAGAATGGACATATTCCAACATGAAGTTACAGGCAATATCTTTAATCAAGAGAGAAAAAGGCAAAAAAAGTTGTAACAGAAATTTATAAAATGAGAATAAACTCACATAGTGTAAAATTTTTATTTAACCCATATCCAATTATTTGATATGAAAGACTGCTCCCGTTTTTTATTATTAGAAACAACACTACAATAGGTGCCTTTCTAGGGAAATTTCTAAGCACATAATAAGGCATTTCTTTTTCTCCTTTTTTTAATTTAATTTTTTCAAGTTTGTTGGTTTATTTATTTATTTATTTATTGGGGGGGGCGCGGAATGAGCACGAGTGTGGGAGGGGCAAAGAGAGAGAGGGGAGAGAGAGAATCCCAAGCAGGCTCCACGCTGTCAGCACAGAGCCCCAGGTGGGGCTTGAGCTCATGAATCTGTGACATCATAACCTGAGCCGAAACAGAGACTTGGCTGTTTAACCAACTGAGCCACCCAGGTACCCTGGCATTTCTTTTTAATGTAGTAAATATTTACACAGTTCAAAATAAAAATATCCTGAAGTAAATTTATTGACAGTTTATTCTTCCTTGTGATTCTGTCACCAACTCCCTTTCTTAGAGGTAACCGCTGATAACGGACTGCCCTTTGCTGTGCCAGGGATATTTTATGCATGTATAGAGCTATGCATGTACAATCCCCTTTCATGCTACAAATGGTAGCAGAGCATACACAATGTTATCGGCCTGCTGTAAAAATAAATAAATGAAACAGTCATGCAGGAGGACTTGACGTATCGGCACACAAAGATTTTGTTTATTGTTTTTTACTTATTATTATCTACTTACATGTTATAGAACATTTAGGTCGTTTTCAAGCTTTTGTAATGAAAAAAAAGTGTCACGGTGAGAAACCTCCTCATCTTAACTCATTTCCAACACACATGAGTTTCTCTGTAGGGTAAATTCCTTAGTCAAAGAGTACATGCATTTGTACGCGTGATACATACTGCCAAACTACTTCTCTAGAAGTGGACCCCTTTGGACTTCAACCAGTAAGGTAAGAGGGTGCCTTTTTTTATCTCACTTCAGGGTCTGGGCCTACACGGAGCACACCTCAGGGTTTCAGCCTTGCAATTCATTTTAGTTCATATTTTCTTGCAAGTCTTGCCCTGGAGGACTGCCTGGGATCATGCACTATGGCAAGAAGTGATGCGTATCTGGAAGACCAGTGACGAACATTTAAGGACACTTGGATTCCAATGCTGGCACCACCAGATGGCACCCACGCAGGCCCCAGATCCGAATGCTTCATAGGTGGAAACCCTCTACAAACCTTCTCCAAGCCATATCTAACCCCTCCTCTGGTGATGTGTGATTCTGGAGACGTGCTTCCTGGAGTAGGACCAAGGGACACGGAAGAAAAATTTAGGAATACATTTTCTGGCTGCTAATTCTGGAAAACTTGCAAGTCTTCAGTTAAGAAGGCAAAGCCAGGGGCGCCTGGGTGGCTCAGTCGGTTAAGCATCTGACTTCTGCTCAGGTCATGATCTCATGGTTTGTGAGCTGAGTCGGGCTCTGTGGTGACAGCTCAGAGCCTGGAGCTTGCTTGAGTTTCTTTGTCTTCCTCTCTCTCTGCCCCTCCCCCGCTTGTTCTCTCTCTCTCTCTCTCTCTCTCTCTCTCTCTCTCTCTCTCTGTCAAAAATAAATAAAGCATTAAAACAAATTTTTTTACAAAAGGCTAAGCCAGTTCAACTTACACTACAGAATGCAAACTAAGGCCTGTGGGTCAAATTCAGCCAATGAATGGATTTTTAAGAAAATTTCATACATAGCCTTTTGAAAAAATTGATTTAGTTGCCAACATTTTTTAAAAACTGAAGATTTCTCAAAAATATCTGCATTTCTAGGGGCGCCTGGGTGGCGCAGTCAGTTAAGCGTCCGACTTCAGCCAGGTCACGATCTCGCGGTCTGTGAGTTCGAGCCCCGCGTCGGGCTCTGGGCTGATGGCTCAGAGCCTGGAGCCTGTTTCCGATTCTGTGTCTCCCTCTCTCTCTGCCCCTCTCCCGTTCATGCTCTGTCTCTCTCTGTCCCAAAAATAAATAAACGTTGAAAAACAAATTATAAAAAAAAAAAAATATCTGCATTTCTGTCTTAAAAGAAGTCGATGGCCCCAGCAAGAACAGCCTGCATCCTACAAGGGAAAAATCTGCTGGTGCTGGTTTACAGGCACTGCTTGCATTTTCTGCTCATTTATACAATAAACATTTATGGAGGGTCCACTAGGTGCCAGGGGCGACCAGCAGTGACCAAGACAGACAAAAATCTTTGCCTTCATGAGGGAGTCTGATAATAAATAAGATACATTATACTGATGATGTAGTATGTAAGCAGGAGAAGAATAAAGCAGGGAAAGGGACCAGGGGTACCAGGAACACAGGGAGTTTGCAATTTTGAATCGGGTTGGAGAGAAAGT